GGGGGAGGCGCCCACGAGGACGAGGAGGTGCTGCGCGGGGCCCCGGGGTTGTTGCTAACAAGCACAGTGGTGCTCCAGGAACGCGGCCTGACCATCGCTTCTTGCCTGCCCGAGCCTCCACTCCAGCCCGCCAGGCTGACATCCACAGGACAGCACCCCCTCCCCCCTCCTGCCCGCTCCTGCCTCCCCTGCAGGCAAGGCAGGCCGGGCGCAAAGGGAAGAGCAGGGAGCGCGTCGTCCATACATTTCACTCTTCTTTTATTTTCTGCTCTCTTTTTTTTTTTTTTTTTTTTGCGAAGTTGGGTTTGCGGAGCCAAAGAGGCGCGCGCGCACTCCCTGGTGACGCCGGGGGCGGGCGGGGTCCCGGCCGGTGCCAAGAATGTGGCGGGCGGGGCGGGTGACAGCTCATTCAGCCCCGTGGGACGGCCGCGGGCGGGCCGGGAATTTGATCTGCGCCTGAGCGAGCCGAGCCAGCAGCAGCGCTCGTGGACCGCCCCGCATATCGCGAAAGACGCGAGGGCTGTAGTAAACAAAAGAGGGTGAAGGGGTTGTCCTCAGTTTTGCTGTTGTGGTATGAATCTTTTCCAACAGTTCCTTTGTGGTCGTCTCTACCCGAACCTGAATGTGAAAGTTTCCAGTTTTGATAAATTTTCCGGTTATCGTTCCAGTTGTGATTAGCAGATTGGATTGCCGTTGACGAAGACAGAGATCTGTTTGTTGTCTTGCTATATAGGGGTCTGCCTGGTTCTCCGTGCCCTACCGTTCCTTTCCGTCTGTTCAACGATGTGCATTGTGTGCAGGCAAGGTGTCCTGCCCCATGCCACCACTCTGCTCCTTATGTCATGACATAGCGGCCCGCGCCCCCACCCTCTTAGCGATAATCCAGAAAGTACGTCCGTCATTCTGCTCTCCGAACCTGCCAAGCCAAGTTCAGCCGCTATGCGAGCTCTTATAGCGCCTGGTAGGTAGGCAACATCTGCCCTGCATCTCACTCGTGTTTTGCGGGGTGGCCTACCCCGAGTCTGACAGGCGCCGAGCTCCCACAATTTTTGACGAATGAATCTTAGAAAACGGATGTACTTTCTGGAAGATCCCATAGTGTGCTCACTACGGTATAACCATAAGGGGAGCAGCTTACAAAACCCCCATTTTCATTCTTTTTTCGAGGCAGTATTCTTTGTGTTTTCGCGTATTATCTTGATTCTTTGCTCTAGAATTTTTTCATCGAAGCAGAACTACGTATCTTTACCGGCCAGCTTACCAGTTTATTTGTTATCTTGTGTTTTTGTTGGTGTTGTTGTTGTTGTTTTTTCTTTTTCTTAGTGACCCCTTTTCTTGACAAATCTCATTCATTTCGCAATGCGAGTTGCAGCAATGCAGATATCCTTCCGGTTTTGGCTATAAGTGCACGGTGTGGGCGCTGGCGGCGGTGCCTCGGACGCTGGCGTGCGAGCGGGGAGCGCAGGGCGCAGTGTTGTGCGGCATGTCGGCTCGAGCCGAGATGACGTGCGGAAGACATCCCATCGTGGCGTATGACTATTAATGGCCGGGAGAGCCGCAGCCACGGGAGAGCGGGAGAGGGGAGAGGGCAGAGGGGCTCTGGGGCGCTGCGTCCGGAAGCGCCCCTTCTCCGTCGCACTCGCGGGCGCGCCAGGAGGCGAGTGCGAGCAAGAGGGGACGGGGAGGGAGGGAAAAAATCCACTCGGGTGAGCTCTGCTGAAGGCGGCTAGGCCTGCTCTGTCGGCCTTGTGTCAGCACATCCATATTCAAAGCAGAAGTCCCATCAGATGAAGCTGCTAGTACGCGGCTCGGCGGTGACCCCCC